ATCCGACAGTAATCAAGAGCCTAGCAGTTTTGGTGGAGGTGTGTCAGTGCTTGAGGATATTAGAAAAGACATGGGGAAGGTGGTAGGCAGACACGGCAGCTCAGAACGGGTGACTGCCTGGCCAGCGGGCTTGATCACGTGATGGAGATCATGGCCAACATCGAGCTCGCCTCCATCGCTGGTAGAATAGAGACTCATAGCATAGGCAGTGCCAAACGACCTCATACAGCTCGCCGTTTGCCTATTCTACATTCTATCGAAGCAGGCGGCCCTCTACAGCCCCGTCAGACCGCGTCAGACCGCGTCAGACCGCATCAGACCGGCCAAATTGGGAAGCCATGGTATTATGACATTCGACAGTAATTAAGGGCCTATAAGTTTTGGTGGAGAGGTATTAGTGCTTGAGGACATCAGAAAAGGCACAGGGAACGTGGTAGGTAGACACGGCAGCTCAGGACGGGTGACTGCCTGGCCAGCAGGCTGGATCACGTGATGGAGATCATGGCCGACGTCGAGCTCGCCTCTATCGCTGGTAGAATGCAGACTCTTAGCATGGACAGTGTTAGAACACCTCATACAGCTTGCCGTTTGCCTATTCTACATTCTATCGAAGTAGGCGGTCGTCTACAGCAACGTCAGACCACGTCAGACCGCGTCAGACCGCGTCAGACTGGTCCCTCCGTCGGCAGCTCCGGTGTTGGCGGAGATCCTCGGGATCAACCCTCGGGCCCTCCCCCCACCTCCCCCAGCCCTTTCTGCAACCTCCGGGACGCTGGGGGCACCTCAGGCGCCCCCCACCGTCGCCCAGCGCGCACGGCCCGAAGCGGGGAAACTCCGGAGTCTCTACGCTACAACCTCTCGATCACTCATGGGAATTTGATGGCGCATCAGCGCTCGGCGAATCCCTAAATTCTGTGGAACGTGTCGTGGTGGCCGCCACAGCGCGATAGCCTGCGGCAAACCTGTACCATCGTGCGCGCGGGATGATTCCGGTTCGAACGGTGCCCCTTACGAGGGGGTGGGGGCGCGGGTTCCCTAACCTTGTAGGATCGGGAGCCTACAGGTGCCAGAGGGTTAGGCAACGAGCTGATTATCATAGTTACTTCTGTAGATGACCTGACCATCCTCACCTCCACCTCGGAGCTGATGAACCTCGTCAAAACGAAGCTACGCGAGTGCTTCGAGATCACGGACATGGGCGAGATCCACTGGATCTTGGGCATCGCCGTCCATCGTGATCGCGCCGCGAGGATGATCTCGCTCTCGCAGACCGCCTACATCGACTCCGTCGTGCGGCACTATGGTCTCGAGTCCGCGAAGGACTCAGCAATCCCCATGGACACGCACAACCGCTTGTCGGCGTCGCAGTCCCCTCGGAACGCGGAAGAGGAGGCCGCGATGCGCGATATCCCGTACCGCGAGATCGTTGGGAAGTTGATGTACGCGTCCATCGGTACTCGTCCCGACATCGCGTACGCGGTGCACTCGCTGTCGCGGTTTGTCGCTCGGCCTGGAAAGGCCCATTGGCTCGCAGCCAAACGCGTTGTGTGCTACCTGAAGGGTACGCGCGCCTGGCGACTGACCTACGGTCATGCCAGCGAGGAGTTTGTGGGTTTCGTCGACGCCGACGGCAGCATGAACGATGACCGCAAGGCCATCACGGGCTACGCGTTCATGATCGACGGTGGCGCAGTCAGCTGGAGCTCACGCTCGCAGACAATTGTGTCGCTCTCAACTGCCGAGTCCGAGTATGTGGCGGCGACCGAGGCTTCGAAAGAAGGCCTCTGGCTTCGCTCGCTTATTGCGCAGATCTTCGAGCCGGTCTTCGTGATCATCGAGGGTGCGACGCCACTTCACTCGGACAACCAGGCGGCCATCGCGCTTACCCGAGACCACCAGTACCACGGGCGTACGAAGCATATGGATGTGCGCTTGCACTTCATTCGCTATGTGGTTGATGACGGCAAGATCGTACTCGTGTATTGTCCTACCGAGGAGATGGTTGCCGACGCGTTGACGAAGGCGCTGCCAAGCGCGAAGGCTAAGCACTTCGCTGCTGGGCTTGGACTTGGTCCGGCTTGAGGGGGAGTGATGAGATGCAGGTCAGTACTTACTATACTTACCTATATACCCATGGACAATCCGGACGCAAGTCCGTTACATATGCTTTCCTTCCTTCTAGGGTACAATACACGGACCCACAAAACGGACCCATACGGTCCCACATACTTACATAAGCCTCCGTATATCTTCACTTTCCGATCGGCCGCTCTCCTCAGTCGCTCTCTCACTACGTAGACCGAGCACTGAGGTGAGCTGCCCAAGCCGCTCCTTATTTACTGTTTACTTACTCTCTCTCAGCTTATCGTTGCCTCACTAGGTGAATATAGTCGCTCTCTCACTACGTAGACCGAGCACTGAGCTTATCGTTGCCTCACTAGCTCGATATCCGTGCTCCCCCGAAGGTCTCTGATTCTCACAGCTCCCTGCTAAAGGTCGACTGCCCTACGTGCACGAGTGGATCCAACGCGCGCGCCGAACGGTATACAGGCCCGACCTCCTCCTCGAACGACGCCAAGGGCAGAGCGACGCCGTGGCGGCATCGGTGGCGTTCGACCAATTCCGCCGCGACATGCGCCAATGGTGGTGGAATATCAACCCGACGTGGCGTGCCCCCAACGACGATGCCTTCACCCTACGACGATGCCTTCACCCTACGACGCGAGGCGGGTGACTGGTCTGTTCTGTATTGCACAGGAGCGAACGGCCTCGTCAGCATCGTGAAGTGCATGAAATGGTGGTGGGAAATGCTAGACGAGGTTGACGAGCAGCCGGGCGATCGCGACGAGTGGCGCGCCGCTGCCGCGGACGTTGCGTGGACTTTCAAGCAAGTGCTCGCGCACGGGTGAGTATTTTACACTGAGCTCGGTGGCCCTAGCTAACGAAATCCTAGACATTCTTCTTCTGAGGAGCGCCCTGCGAAGCGTTGCAAGCTGTAGCGTGCGCCGCGTGTCCCTCCTCGTCCCCCTTCCGCTTCCTCGCCTTCATCCGCCCTCGTACACTCGAACACGCGCCTCCCCCTTCAACATATCACTGCCATTGTACTTTTATTGTTTATTCGTTCCTGTGTTTTTCGAATGCATTCTGTTCCTGCTGCACCACGTGAGGACACGAACGGAGGCGTTGCAGAACAGCAGTGGTATGTAACAAGCTCAATATGCAGTCGAGGGGTGCAAAAAACATGGTATAGACCTTGTTATAGGTGATTAGAAGCTGCTAAGGGGCACGAACTGGCCTGGCGAGCGCGCGCGGTGGCGCAAAGACTCGCCCGGGCACGCGGGGAGCCCATCAGATCACCCTACACCGGCCCCGCCACCGTAGACGCCGCCCACGGCATGCGGCGCGCCCCCGGCGACCTCCCGGAGGGCAGTGGCTGTGCGGATAGAACATTCGTTACCTTTTCAACTGTTGGACGGACACTTGTCGGTTACTTTTTAAAAGGTGTTACCTGCGCAAGTGGGGAAGGGGGGGACTTTGATCCCGTATGAGACGGATAGGAGAGGGAGGAGAGGTGCTCACTGAACTGCTACAGGGTAGATGTATGGGGTGGAGAAGTGGGCGCATGAGGCATAGCAATCTCATATGGGATAGAGAAGGGGGAAGAGGGTGGGGATGATCTGAAGATCAAGCACACCATCAATTGCACGGAACTGCATGTCATGATAGTGCAGTATCTCCACTGAGCCATGGGTGGGGAGACAGCAGGGGGCAAAGGACCATCAATAGAAAGATGGACTGGTTATTGAGGGCAAGCACCACAACTGAAGATATCGTTACTACTGAGAGCCTATTGATCTGAGAAAACCTGCCCTCAGTAAGGTCAAGTGTTGGGTATTGACAGTAGATGTCAGAAATATTGGTCGTCGTGCAGATACTGGCGCCGTGCAGATGCGCATGTGCACGCAGATACTCGGATTGGAGGGTTAGGGCCAAAACTCATTTTTTCGCCGCTATTGCGCTGCACACGACATGGAATGTGGTATTCCTAACTCTAACAACACTTTGGCTCTGAATACCTGCCCAAAACATCCTAGAATAGACTGGAAGGTGAGATGGCGAAGGGCCCCGGCATTTGCCGAAGCGTCTGATGGGAGGCGGTAACGTGTGGCCGGAAACCGCTGACGTCTGATGGGAATTTGCAAACGCCTGATGGGATTCCGGTGAGACGCCTGGCACTTCTTCGCCCAATATCTCTACCTTCCCGGACTTTCTAACCCTAACAAACATGGGCGCTCCCAGGTTATCGATGTCTGCGCGTCGAATGGCACCGGTTTCAGCCTGATCGGAGAAAATTGATGGGATTGATCCAGGCGCGCGCTTGGAATCGGGCAGAAGGTTAGAGCCCACTGAGCCTGCCCTGTGGCCCTGATCGCCACCAAACTTGTCAGCATGTCTCTTACAGCCATATACATGTTTGTTTAGAAACATCAGCTAGCACACTCAACGTTGGCTAGCCTGCATCTTGATTGAGCGAGCACGTGACCCCACCCCCAAGGGCTAGCCGATGTTCGTGTAAGTTAGCTGACATCTAAGCTACAGAGTGTACAATTACAACATATCTATAAACATTTGAGGGGTTGTATACATCGGCTAATGCACTCAGACGTCGGCTAGCCTGGACTGGGATGGGTGAGCACGTGACCCCACCCCCCAAGGGCTAGCCGACGTCTGGGCGCGTTAGCCGACGTCTGAGCTGCAGTGCATACATCAACAACATATCTGTAAGTACTTGTGGCCGTTGAGACGTTGGCTAACGCATCTGGACGTTGGCTAGCCCCCACTCGGATTTGGCAAGCACGTGACCTCACCCCCCAAGGGCTAGCCGGCGTCTGAGTGCGTTAGCCAACGTCTGAGCTGCAGAGTATATATGTACAACATACCTGTAGCCACTTGAAAGGCTTCAGACGTTGGCTAACGCACCTGGACGTTGGCTAGCCCGCACTCGGATTGGGTGAGCACGTGACCCCACCACCAAGAGCTAGCCAACGTCGGGGGGCGTTAGCTGACGTCTGAGCTGCAGATTATATATGTACAACATACCTGTAGCCACTTGAAAGGCTTCAGACGTTGGCTAACGCACCTGGACGTCGGCTAGCCCACACTGCAATGGATGTGCACGTGACCTCACCCCCCAAAGGGCTAGCTGACGTCTGAGTGCGTTAGCCAACGTATGAGCTACAGAACATGAATCTGCAACACATCAATAATCATTTCATGGCCTTCAAACGTTGGCTAATGCACCTGGACGTCGGCTAGCCTGCACTCGGATTGGGCGAGCACGTGACCCCACCCCCAAGGGCTAGCCGACGTCTGAGTCCGTTAGCTGACGTCGAAGCTGCGGAACATACATTCAGAACACATCTGTAAGCCGTTGAGTGGGTGTATACGGCGGCTAACGCACCTGGACGTTGGCTAGCCCGCACCTTGACCAGTGGGCACGTGATCCAGACCCCCCAAGGGCTAGCCGACGTCTGAGTCCGTTAGCCGACGTCTGAAGCCTCAGAACATACTCATATTACATCTCTTCTTACATTATTGCACTTGAAAACCCCAGTCAACGCTTCCAACTCTGACTAGCCCTCGCCTGGTCTCGCAGGCACGTGACCTCACCGGCCAACAGCTAGCTCACGTTGTGCTGGGGCGCTTGCCTTGAGATTTACCAGTACCATTCACAGCGCGTATCTTCACCTCCCAGTGCACTTAAAGACGTCGGCTAGCCCCCTCAACGTTGGCTAGCCCTGACGGTCCCAGAACACGTGTGTGATGGACGTCGGCTAGCCATCACAACCGCTTTTGGCGACTTTTCCCACGGGCGAACGAATTTTTTCGTACAAACGCGTGCGAACACATTCGTTCGCGCCATTGTCTGGAGCGCTTCCCCCTGCCCCCCTCACCTCCAAACTTCGTCCAGCGGTGGATGGACATGCTGGCTACCCTCCGGCACCATTGGAACGTCAGCTAACGCGCATGGCGGGGCTCCTGACGTCGGCTAGTATTTCGGTAAATCGTGGGAAAATTTGAACGCGTTTCCCACGGTGCTAGCTGACGTCGGCTAGTGAGGGCAGATAGTTAGGAGTTGAAGGGACTGGCGCTCCAGTCGAGATCGATGGTATCGCCGCCAGACGATCCGAAGAAGAGGCGATTCTCTCCGTCAAACAGTTGACTTTCGTCATTCTGCTGCGCAGAGGCCATCTCGACGTCGGGGATCGAGTTGATCTTGGCACGCTTTGCCGGAGGAGCGAGATCTTCGAGCTAAAGATTCGAGCCAGAAGCCTTGGGAGTGGGGGAACCCATCTCCTCGTCCTCGTCGTTGACGCGGGGGATGCCGCGGTCGTTGACGATCTTGTCAAGGCGACGGAACACCTGGGGCGTCACCGTGATGTCCAACTCCTTCCCAAAGTCGAAGACGGCTCGGGCGCTCTTGGAGTGTTCGTTGTCAGCGACAGCCTCCTCGTTCTTGACGGGGGGCTTCTCAGTCACGGTGCGGACAGAGGTACCGTCCTTCGTGATGAGCGCGATGTGGGACGTCTTGGTGGCAGGCACTGACGGTGTGAGAGGAGCGGGAGCGTGCAGTGAAGAGATCATCCCAGCCATCTCCGAGACACCATGAGCGTGAGCGTTGCCGCCCTTGCCCTTGCCAGAGTTCTTACCAGCGCGATTGCCGCGATTCTTCTTCTTCTTCTTCTCAGCGTTGTCGCCCTGCTTGGGCGCAGAGCTTCCGCCCTGTTGCTGATTAGAGTACTTCGGATCATCGCGCTTGCGCTTGGTGTTGAACTTCTGAGCAGTGGCGCTCGTGCTCATCCCCTGCTGCGAGTAGTGCGCTAGAAGCGCATCGCGAACAGTCGAGACCTTGAGCGTAGTCTTCGAGTGAGACTGAAGGAGATTCGTCGTCACGGGCTTGACCCGCGCGATCGCAAGCAAGATCATGGCCTGCAAGAACTCGGGAATGGCAACATTCTCGTTCTTCAGACGCGTGAACTGCTGAAGGATGACGTTCAGCTGCGGATCTGGGTGCTGACGCTCATCGAACTTGGCGTTCAGAGCGGTCTGCAGGTACCCGAAGATGTCGGCCAGCTGCGCTGAGCCATACGTCTTATTCAGGTACTCCCAGAGCTTCTTAGCAGTCACCATGTCCTCGTCAGGGACATTGTCGATGAGACGCTCGTCAATGCGCATGATGATAGCACCACGCGCTTTGCGGTCGTCAGCATCAAACTGCTTGCGCTCCTCCTTGTTGCCCTTCCTATCAGCAGTAGTTGCGATAGGACTCGGCTTCTCCTCAGTTAGGACATTGTCAATGCCCTGGAACTGGAGGTAGGCCTTCATCTTCTTGGCGAAGGACTTGAAGTCCTTGCCGTTGAAGACGGGCACGGTAGAGGTGAGGGTGTTAGACATTGTGATCTGGAAAGATCGTCAGCATCGTTTCGCATGTCATCATAGAGGCAGCATGTCGGTAAGGACTGCGCCGATGAGCGAAAGAGCGATGCGCCCTGAAGGGCCAGCATCTCCGCTAGAGATGGGCACCTTGATCAAGCGCGATCAGCAGCGATCAGCGCGATCCGGCATGGTTTCGCCAGCGCTTAGAGCAGCTAGTAGCGAACAGGCAAGCGAGCAAGGCGCTGCTCGTCATCGCAGCCAGCAAGGGCGCAGATGACATGAGTTGCAGCCACTGAGGCGCTACTCATTGTGCCGCTGCCACTGGGGCGCTGAACACAGCTCACCGGGGCTCATAACCTGTTGAGCATGCTGGGAAGCGCGCCTATACTGCTTACCTGGTGGTAAGGAGCTTGGTATGAGGCAAGCGCAGAGGTAGGTAAAGACCTGTTATTCTGGGGGCAGATTGGGCCCTCCTTATATATGTACAGGATGGTAGGTAGCATGTGATAATGCAATGGACAAGTAAACAATAAACATATGATGTCGTCGCGTGTGTCCATGTGTGTCCATGTGTCCGTCATGTGAGTCATGAGTCATATCATGTGACAGGCCGATTGTCCAACATATTGATCTGAGAAAACCTGCCCTCAGTAAGGCCAAGTGTTGGGTATTGACAGTAGATGTCAGAAATATTGGTCGTCGTGCAGATACTGGCGCCGTGCAGATGTGCATGTGCACGCAGATACTCGGATTAGAGGGTTAGGCATCTGGCTCAGCATGCTGTTTGGTACTCTTGCTCTGCTGCTTCCCTGGCTGCTATTCGGCATTTCTGGAGGTGCCAAACCAGCTTGTAAGGGTGCATGCGGTGCTCATCCAAGTGAGCAGGGATCAGGACTGCTATCTGCAGCACATGAGGCCACTCAGAGGGTGCACCAGACAGCGAGCCTCCTTCACTGACACCGGAAAACACCTTCCTCTCTCTTCCCACATGCTGATGCACAAGCACATTCTCAGCCAACCTCGTAGGCCTTTTAGGTTGTGAATGCTCTCTAGATGTCATGACCCTACTTTTGGAACACTGCAAGGCCAGAGGTGGATTGACAGCAACAGGATTCATGGAGGCTTTGCTCATGTCAAGCCTGTTCATGCATGCCGATCATCACAATTTGTCTCCTGTAGACCTGCAGGTATTCCAAGGCCTTTGGGCCTTCCGTAGTGGTTTATACTTGACCAACCTGTCCAGCTGCATCATGGAGTTGTTTTCAAGGGTTGGGGCTGTTTTGAAACCACTCGGGGCTGTTTAGTGACCTGTACAGAAGCCCTCGGGGCCCAGATCTCTGTCTGGCACAGCGGCTTTGAGCTCCCACCCATGTGGCTGCACCACGGGGTTGTTTTGAAGTGTCGGGGCTGTTTTGAAGCCACTCGGGGCTCTTTAGTGACCCTTACGGAAGCCCTTGGGGCCCAGATCACTGTCTGGCACAGCCACATGGGACTCTGCCACATTTCCTGCCTCAGATAACCCCAAGGACGCCACCGTGGCCCTGTGGCTGTGCATTAATCGGTTTCGCCACAAATTTTAATGAGTTTCACTCCCTCCCCACGGGTAGACTTGGTCTTATCTTTTTTTCTAATGCAGGTCACTAAACCAGCCAGTGGCCGCGACCCAGCTCTCATAATCGGTTTCCCCGATTTTCATGAGTTTCACCACTCATAATGGGTTTCGCCAGAATCGTGAAACCCATTGTCGACTTCACTCGTCAGTCACTAGATTGCTGATCAACTTAGTGATCTGCACAGCCACACGGTTTGAAACCCACGTGAGTTTCAGGGATTATATATATAGGCGCACGCCATTGAGGACTGGCACCTTGTGGACGGTGCGACAATGGATATACTAGGTTCCGTCCATGTGGTGCGTCGTCCGTGCGCCAACTGTGATTCACGACTGACCGTTTTTCAGGACACTGTTGATGGAGAGGGAGAACCGCCGTCCATTCTCCCGTCTGCGGCCGACGAAGCACGCCTCATGGCCCGGGAAGAGCGCATACGCCACTACGAGACCATCCTCATCTTCTGCGGCAGTCACTGCGGCTTCTGCCTTGTACAGGCCCTCATCGCAGGCAGGCAAGCCCCCACCCCCAAGATGGCCCACGACATCAACATATGCCCTGGCCTCAGCCAAGAAGAGCGCCTGGGGTTTTACTCCCTGCGAAGGGCCATCCGTTACACGCACGGACACCACCTCTGCTACCGCTGCCACATCTCGGCAATGGGAATGAACCGACTGCACCCTGACTTTGTGCGTGGGGGGCACCCGCACGCACGGGTTGGGCTCCCCCTCGCGTGGGCCGTCTGGCGCGACCCGGAGTTGAAGGCGGCGGCGTTCGGCGATCTGGTTCAGTCCTCGCCCCTCGCGATGTCACGCGGCCATAGCTGGGCCACCATTGACGGGTTCAGGGCGTGGATCGAGGACAAGGACGCTACGGAGGAGCCGTCGAGCGTCATGGCGCTGATGGACTTTGTGTACAGGCGTTTTATGTAGGGAGGCGGGAGCATCGCCGTATATAGCTTGGAGAGCGTAGTACCGGTTCAATTTTACCACCTCATTCGCTGCATAATAAAGCATCGAGAGCAGCATCGGCACTACTCCTTCAAAAGCCGGGTGTAGTACGTCCGCAGGGCGTGGAACCGCTGCGTCACAAGGCCATTTCCCGGCCGCACGTGCTGCGGCTAATCTGTCACCGCATGGGACGCTCTCTTGCTTGCACCCACCATGGACGGCCCAGTCGACTATACCACACAGAGAGCTCTTGCAATCGTCTTCATAGCTTCTTCGAAAGCCAATCGTCGGGCGATACTGGGACTCCATCGGCCAGCTCTCGAGGCATTTACCAGCCAGCACGGCAACATCGATCGTGCTCTCCGCTTGATAGTGCAAGTACTTGTCGAGCGCAGCACTGATGGTGGGGAAGACCGGGCTTCAGCAACCGAGCCAAGTGTAGATGCCATGGATACAATCTCTGTGCGTTTTGAGCGTCCGATCCGGTCTATGGCTGACTGTGATCAAGGAGGCTAGTGACGCGAACAGTGCCGATGAACCAGAGGAGGAGGACCGCCTTCGGCAGGCGGTCCAAAACATGGTGGATGCCATGGAAGGTGTAGTAGAGGCATTGGGGCTGACACCGGTACAAGTGCGAAACTTTGTTGATGCGTTGCGCCACCTCCGCCGTCATCAGGGCGAGCGCAGGCTGTAGCCATAGACGCGACGGCTCGGGCGGATACCGGAGGTCCGAGAAGACTGCAAAGTCCAATATCATGCTGTTAGACTCCTGCATCTCTACTGTAGCGGTATGGAAATGCCTCGGTCATGCGTTACAGCGAGACACACAGTAGAACGTGGCAGATGCGGGTCTCCGAATATACATCGTGCGACATACGGTCCGGCAGTGCCATGCGGCTGGCGCGTGTCACAGGACGAGGGCTGGCAGTCATGATGTGCAGTTCTTTCCGCTCTCATCTCAAGCAAAGACATGCCTTGCAGCTCAGTGGTTGTTGCGATCGGCAGCCGTCATGGCGCTCTCGAGTGCTGTATAGGTGCGCGTAGGCACTCCATCCTGGCGGATGACTGACCGATACCATAGTACCTCAATACGCTGAGGACGATCGTCGTGCATCGACGTTCGGGCTCCGTGGCGGCCGAGCGCCCCGCGTGAGATGGACGCACCCCCCTCCTGCCTGGCTCGAGTGGCTCTACAGAGGTGATGCTGACACCGGGCCACGAGGAGCAGCTTGTGGTCATGAAGACGGTGCAGTGACTGGAAGACGGTACGCTGAACGGCCGATTGGGCAGTGCGATCACTAATCCACTTGAAGAGCGCAGGCGGCACTAGTGCAGAGGGGAGGCTTGCGGGTGGTCGTGGTGGTAATGCCAGCGAGGGCTCTTCAAGGGCTTTGGGATCAGCATTGCGCCACGTTTGTCATGTCAGGAATGTCGGTGTAATCCAATCAGACTCTCCGTATCCCCTTGGTGTGGCCTTTGTAGTGGACGGTCCGGACATCCGTTTGAGCTGCGAGCACTGTACCACGTTTCTTGACGCGGTCTGCCGGTACCACTTCGGACAATATGCACAGCCCCGCAGATGCTTCTCGGCCAAGACTCAATGCACCGGACCGACGGCGAGCATGCCGGATGATCGCACCCCTCAGATCGATGATGTCCGATAACGCTATCTTCCGCTCTCCCATGTCCATGGCAAACGACCGTGCCAGCGAGCAGTCCCGCAGCATCAACCGGGCTGAGGCCAGTGACGGAGAGCAGGGTGTGCAGGTGCGTCCGGACCCGGAGTTTACTACACCAAGGTCCTCATGAGACACCAGACACGCACCACACTCCCCGATGTGTCTGGATCAGAGACGCCAGACCGGAATCAGGTCCTGGACAGCTTTTTAGGAGCAGAGGAGGTGCGTGGGGCTGCGATCGAGACTTCCGATTATTGATCATGCGATACAGAGCGCGACAGCCAGCACAGCTAAAGAAGGAGCAGATGCGCAGGTGCGCCGGCATTCCAGCGCGCTAAACGCACATCTGACAACCTGCAGTCCCTTGCATCCATTGCAGATAGCATGCAGAAACTTGCAGGCACACTGGCCGAATTCAACAGGAGCTTGGCCGTAGTCCCCGACCTTATCGCCGCTGCCCATAGGTTCTGTGACAGTCTTGAGGATGCGCAGAGGGCTTTGATATTCACCAACCAGCGCACCGGCATCAACGCCCACACCGATGCGCTGGCTCTTCCCGCTTATGATGACGTGCAGGCTCTGTCGCGTGGCAGATCATCGGGGCCCGCGCGCTCGGCCGATCCACAGACGCGTACATCCAGCCTGGCCAGCACGCGCAGTGCGGAGGCTGACGGGCCCCCGGGAAGCCCGTCGCCAGCTCCGTCGCATGAGGGGGACATTGAGGGGTAGAGATTTGTACAATGTAAGGTAGCACGAAGGTAGTAACTGTTACATGACCGCAAATATGTAGCTTTTGATTTGCATGTATAGTAAGATGTTTGTATGCACACCGTCTTCGCTGGATGTTTAGCTTAGCATGCGTGCAGCAGGTTAGCTGACTAAGCATGTAGCGATGCCAGCTCGCTCTGGTCGGACAAACCATCGGCCGAGCGGGGCAACGTCTCGGCCCTACTATGTGTGTAATGGTCTTAGTTGCGCGACGCCGGATGCGCGCAGGCATCTGACTAGGTGCGTAACGCTCCCAGTTTGAGGGGCGCGTTCCTGCAACTAGGTGCATAACGCTCCTAGTTTTTGGAGCACTGCCTCCGGAACTAGGTGTATAACGATTCTAGTCCAGCAGGCGAGGTGAGCTTGGCCAACTAAGGGTGTAACGACGCTATTTTAGCAGTCATGCAAGCATAGCGCACCGCCAACTAGGCGCGTAACGACGCTAGGTTGGTCCGAGTGGACAAAACCTCGGCCGATGCGGACCAAGCTTCGGCCTAACTAAGGGCATAACGGCCCTAGTTCAGCGTGGCTGCATGAGTGCCGGCGCCTGCCTAGGCGCGTAACGCCTCTAGTCTAGGTGGAGAAAGAAATGGGCTGCTGAAACTAGGTGCATAACGCTCCTAGTTGCGGTGGACCGCCTTCCCACCTAGGTGCATAATGACCCTAGTCCAGCAGGTGAGATGCGCTCGGCCAACTAAGGGCGTAACGACACTAGTTCAGCATTCATGCAAGCACAGTGCACTGCCAACTAGGCGCGTAACGCTGCTAGTTGGGGGTGGCTTCATGAGCGCTGGTGCCTGCCTAGGTGCGTAAAGCCTCTAGTTCATGTGACGAGAGAAGTGGACTGCCGAAACTAGGTGCGTAACGCGCCTAGTTGTGGTGCCAACTAAGGGCGTAACGACGCTAGTTTAACAAGCAGAGCGCAGCGCCGACTAGGTGCGTAACGACGCTAGTTTGCTCCGGTCGGCCTGTGCCTCGACCATCTGGACCAATCTTCGGCCTAACTAAGGGCATAACGGCCCTAGTTCAGCGTGGCTGCATGAGTGCCGGCGCCTGCTTAGGCGCGTAACGCCTCTAGTTTAGGTGACGAGACAATTGTGCTTCCCAAACTAGGTGCATAACGATCCTAGTTTTTGTGGTGGACCGCCTTCCCACCTAGGTGCGTAACGACCCTAGTCCAGCAGGCGGGGCGTACTTGGCTAACTAAGGGCGTAACGACGCTAGTTCAGCAAGCACAGCGCACCGCCAACTAGGCGCGTAACGCTGCTAGTTTGCTCCGGTCAGCCTGCGCCTTGACCATCTGGACAAAGCTTTGGCATACCTAGGGGCATAACGGCGCTAGTTGGGGGTGGCTGACTAGGGGCGTAATGCCTCTAGTTTAGGTGGCGAGACGAGTGTGCTGCCCAAACTAGGTGCATAACGACCCTAGTCCAGCAGGCGAGACGTGCTCGGCCAACTAAGGGCGTAACAACGCTAGTTCAGCAAGCACAGCGCAGCGCCAACTAGGCGCGTAACGCCGCTAGTTTGCTCCGGCCAGCCCGCGCCTTGACCATCTGGACAATGCTTTGGCATACCTAGTGGCATAACGGCGCTAGTTGGGGGTGGCTGCCTAGGTGCGTAATGCCTCTAGTTCAGGTGGCGAGAGAAGTGGGCTGCCGAAACTAGGTGCATAACGCTCCTAGTTGTGGTGGACTGCCTCGTCAACTAGGTGCGTAACGGCTCTAGTCCATCAAGCTCGGAGCGCTCGGCCAACTAGGCGCATAACGACGCTAGTTTGGTCCGGGCGAGCAAAGCCTCGGATGATGCGGACCACGCTTCGGCCTAACTAGGTGCATAACGGTGCTAGTTTGGGGTGGCTGCCTAGGTGCATAACGCCTCTAGGTAGCGAGACAAGTGGGCTGCCCAAACTAAGTGCATAATGCTCCTAGGTTCAGTGTCTGACTAGGTGCATAACGCTCCTAGGTTCAGTGTCTGACTAGGTGCATAACGCTCCTAGGTTCAGTGTCTGACTAGGTGCGTAACGCGCCTAGATGTGGTGTGGTGCGTCCTCAACTAGGTGCATAACGGCCCTAGTTCAGCAGGCAAGGCATGCTCGGCAAACTAAGGGCGTAACGACGCTAGTTCAGCAAGCACAGCGCACCGCCAACTAGGCGCATAATGACGCTAGTTTGTTCCTGGCAAGCAAAACCTCGGCCGATGCGGACCAAGCTTCGGCCCAACTAGGGGCATAACGGCCCTAGTTCAGCGTCGCTGCATGAGCGCCAGCGCCTGCCTAGGCGCGTAACGCCTCTAGTTTAGGTGACAAGACAAGTGTGCTGCCCAACCTAGGTGCATAACGCTCCTAGGTTCAGTGTCTGACTAGGTGCGTAACGCGCCTAGATGTGGTGCACTGCCTCCTCAACTAGGTGCGTAACGCGCCTAGTTGCGGTGCAGTGCGTCCTCAACTAGGTGCATAACGGCCCTAGTACAGCAGGCCCGGAGTGCTCGGCTAACTAAGGGCGTAACGACGCTAGTTCAAGTGGCGAGACAAGTAGGCTGCCCAAACTAGGTGCATAACGCGCCTAGTTTGTGTGATGAGCCGCCATCCCACCTAGGGGCATAACAACCCTAGTCCAGCAGGCGGGGCGTGCTTGGCCAACTAAGGGCGTAACGACGCTAGTTTGCTCTGGTCGGCCTGCGCCTCGGCCATATGGACCAATCTTCGGCCTAACTAGGGGCATAACCGCCCTAGTTCAGCATGGCCGCATGAGCGCTGGCGCCTGCCTAGGTGCGTAACGCCTCTAGTTTAGGTGGCAAGACAAATGTGCTGCCCAAACTAAGTGCATAACGCTCCTAGGTTCAGTATCTGACTAGGTGCGTAACGCGCCTAGTTGTGGTGCAGTGCGTCCCCAACTAGGTGCGTAACGGCCCTAGTCCAGCAGGTCCGGAGCGCTCGGCCAACTAAGGGCGTAACGACGCTAGTTCAGCAAGCACAGCGCAGCGCCAACTAGGCGCGTAACGACGCTAGTTTAAGTGGCGAACAAGTAGGCTGCCCAAACTAGGTGCATAACGCTCCTAGTTTTTGTGGTGGACCACCTTCCCACCTAGGGGCATAACGACCCTAGTCCAGCGGGCGAGGCGTGCTCGGCCAACTAAGGGCGTAACAACGCTAGTTCAGCAAGCACAGGGCACTGCCAACTAGGCGCGTAACGATGCTAGTTTGGTCCGCGTGGACAAAACCTCGGCCGAAGCGGACCACGCTTTGGCCTAACTAGGTGCATAACGGTGCTAGTTTGGGGTGGCTGCCTAGGTGCATAACGCCTCTAGGTAGCGAGACAAGTGCGCTGCCCAAACTAGGTGCATAATGCTCCTAGTTTCAGTGTCTGACTAGGCGCGTAACGCGCCTAGTTGTGGTGCAGTGTGTCCTCAACTAGGTGCGTAACGGCCCTAGTCCAGCAGGCCCGGAGCGCTCGGCCAACTAAGGGCGTAACGACGCTAGTTCAGCAAGCACAGCGCAGCGCCAACTAGGCGCGTAACGACGCTAGTTTGGTCCGAGTGGACAAACCTCGGCCGGGGCGGACAACGCTTCGGCCTAACTAGAGGCATAACGGCACTAGTATGGCGTGGCGCGTGAGTGCCGGCGCCTGCCTAGGTGCGTAACGCGCCTAGTTTAGGTGGTCGGACAAGTGCGCTCCCGTACCTAGGTGCATAACGGCCCTAGTTCTGCAGGCTCCGGACCATGCTCTAACCAGACTAGGCGCATAACGGCCTCAGTTCTAGCCCTAATCCTAACCCTAATCAACAGATTCAATCTGATTCAAACCTCATTCTGTTGCAAAAACCAGGATCAGAGGGTTAGGGCTAGCCAACGTCTGAGTCCGTTAGCCGACGTCTGAAACCTCAGAACATACTCATATTACATCTCTTCTTACATTATTGCACTTGAAAACCCCAGCCAACGCTTCCAACTCTGACTAGCCCTCGCCTGGTCTCGCAGGCACGTGACCTCACCGGCCAACAGCTAGCTCACGTTGTGCTGGGTCGCTTGCCTTGAGATTTACCAGTACCATTCACAGCGCGTATCTTCACCTCCCAGTGCACTTAAAGACGTCGGCTAGCCCCCTCAACGTTGGCTAGCCCTGACGGTCCCCGAACACGTGTGTGATGGACGTCGGCTAGCCATCACAACCGCTTTTGGCGACTTTTCCCACGGGCGAACGAATTTTTTCGTACAAACGCGTGCGAACACATTCGTTCGCGCCATTGTCTGGAGCGCTTCCCCCTGCCCCCTTCACCTCCAAACTTCGTCCAGCGGTGGATGGACATGCTGGCTACCCTCCTGCACCATTGGAACGTCAGCTAACGCGCATGGCGGGGCTCCTGACGTCGGCTAGTATTTCGGTAAATCGTGGGAAAATTTGAACGCGTTTCCCACGGTGCTAGCTGACGTCGGCTAGTGAGGGCAGATAGTTAGGCGGACTTCGAGCGCGCGGACACACATTATGGTTGTCTACAAAACCAACTCACTGCGATCACGTCCTTTGTCGTCCATCTGCTTCCTATGTCGTGCATGCCGCGCGATGTCGTACGCGATCTCGTTGACATCATGCGCATTCTGCATTCCGCGCCGTCCGCTCGCGCTCTCGCGGAGGTCGCATGCGACACGCTGGCTATGGTCTGGCAACACACGGCCGACCAGCGCGCGCTCTTGTGGTCACTGCACGACGGGGCGTTCCCCTTGGTGATGTCGCTGTACCATAGTGAGGAGCCTAGTACTAGGGTCGGGAATGCGCTGGGCACCATAGCCCTACTCTCCGTCTTCGGTGAAGTACAGCGCGTGCTGCCGCGGGACATGTCCTTCCTCGACGAGTTTCCGGACGGCCCTGGCAGATACGCTCAACGACGCGCCGACGTAGCGCGTCACATATCAAGGAAGATGTGCGCTTACTGTGAGGTATGTGACTGCAAACTCCCCGGATGACTCGCGTAGCTCATGCCTTCCCCAGCGTCCCGAAGGTGGCAGAGGCGAGGCCCGCAAGAGGTTCCTCTGCTGTCCTTGCTTCTCCGCGATATATTGCTCCACCGAATGCCAAACCGCTGACTGGCCTTCGCATCGCGCACTGCATCGTCGTGCGCGCGTCGACGAAGTGCAAGGTAGGTGCCGTTTCGCTTCCGAGTCGCACTAGTCATTAACCACAACCCTTAGGCAAGATCTCCCCTCGCGACGCGCATTTCCTGAAGGCCTGCGGCAACGACTACCTGCGCAAAAACCTCGCGCGCATCCTTGGCGAGATATCGGAGGGCCTCGAGCGCCATCGCGAGCATCTCGCGCTACCCCCGCGTGTACACATCGAGATACGCATTGGCGGACGCTTCGACGAGGATGCGCACGAGAACCGCGTCAATATACGTCGTGAGGATAGCGAGGAAAGGAGCGTGGCAGAACCATTTGCAGGGAACGATCCGGAAGAACCGACCGTGCTTGTAGTTGCTGTGCTGCTTCGCATCGACAAGATTGCTGGCGCAGTAGTGGTGCGACGCGCGATGTTGCGGGAGCTGAAGGAGGAGGCTGGGAGACTCACCGAGTAGTATCCATCGCGCGGCGGCTCTTATGAAGCACCAAATCCCGCGAAGACAGAGAACAGAACAGAAGTCATGTATTCACAAATCCAGTGTACAAACATAAGGTGCATCTGCATGAGTACGTATGCGTGGTCGTGACATAGCAATATCGATAGCGAGGGACAGGTAAGAAGATAGTACACATGAACCATCGCGCGCGCAGCGCACGATGGGTCAGACTTGGTAGGTACGTACATGTCTATGCCGACGACCCATTCTTCGACGGCAGGTTCTCTTTGCCCCCGAAGACGTCGCGCAGCTCCCCGAGGATACGCTTCCCCTTCGTCGTATCCTCCTTCTTCGCCTCGCCCTTCGCCGGCTCAGCCTGCATGTCGAAACTCGTATCGCTGCTCATCATGCTCCAATCCTCCTCGAGCAGATTTGGCTTCCCGCCGATATCCGGCATGCGCACAGGCGACGCATCGATAGTATCCTTCGAGGACGAGCCCGCGGCACGGGAAAACGGGCGCGAGGTAGCGGCGCGCGAGGTCGCACGAGAGGCGTCCGCGACGTACTTGACCTCGCCGTCCTTCACCTGCCAGAGTTCTTCTTCGCGACCCTCGCCAACGGCGGAAAGGCGGCGACCGGAGCTGAAGCGACTGAGGGTGGGGAGGCCGGTCATGCCTTTCGACACACCCAACGAGCCGAGCTTCGACGAGTCGAAGAGGCTGACGAAGCTGGCGAGGGCCTCGCGCGGGCTCTCGAGCGCTTGGCGCGTCTACATGAGATCTAGCACGGATCCGGCTGATAGACGACACGCAGACGTACCTTACGCTCGCGGTCAAGCTGACGGACGAGCTCTTCGGACCAGCGCTCAACATCGAGTCGCCGCTGAAGCTCCATGTCGAGCTTGCCCTGCCACTCGCGCTCGACGTCCTCGCGGACGGCACGCAGTGGCTCGCCGAGGTTTTTCTCGTACCTACGAAGTTCGTTAGTCTCACTCGATTGGAGAGGACCGCGACGCACCCCTTCACGACGATATTGAGCTCGCGGTCCTCGTTCGTCAGCTTCAGTATCAGCTTGTCCTTCTCATCATCGGGCGCGTCGGCGGGGAGTGGTGGTCGGGACGTGAGCGCCGTTTCGAGCGACAGGATCTGCGCTTGCTGCGACTCTAGTTGGTGCCGTGCGGCGAGCAATTCTTGTTGCAACTACCCAGCGTTGTCAGTTCGACCTCGTGGCAGTTCAACGCAAACGCTTACCTGATACGGAGACATGTCAAAGTCAACCTTTATAAGGCTCGCCGGCCTCGACTCGACAGTGTTGCTCGTGAGGATGAGCTTGGTGAATTGCTGGATGCGGTTGTTGAGGTCGCGCATGGCCTTGTACTCGTCAATTTGCTATCGAGAATGTTCAGGAAGGCGCACAACGCGTGTCGCGGACCAGCTTACCTCGCGCGCGCCCAGTCGTCGGTTCCTCACGGGGGCATCGCGCTCGCGCTCTGCGAGGCGCGTCTATAGTCATGTTAGCCTCGAACAAGTGAGTGACGGGAAGGACGAAGCACTCTTTAAGCTCCGCGATCTCCTTCTGGTACTTCTCGATGAGCGCGTCGGTGTCGACAACTTCCTTCTTCTGAGCATGCAGCTGGAAGGAAGCGGTCAGTATAATGGGTTAGCTGGATAGCGCGCGAAACGCACCTTGACCCCCTTCACCCTCCGCGCAAAGCCCAGCGTACTCAGGCTGTAGACCGACACCAGCACCGGCGCGTCGGCAAGCCACCGAGCCACACGCACCTCTCGCCCACAGCCCCCACATCTGGGTTGATCGTACATATCACCGAGATACGCGCGTTGCCGGCCAGACAGGGTTACAGAATCCGCGTCAACTTCGAGTTGCGGTATGGGATGTGATCGCTGAAGGAAGGGCGTCAGCGTCGCGCCGCGCAACCGGGAACAGCAACGCGTACTGCTTGTTCTTTGCCGTGTTCTCCGCGAGCGTGCCGATGACGGATCCAAGGGTGAGCAAGCTGGACAACGCATAAGCGCGAGAGGAGAAAGCGAGAGAACACGTACCTAGTGTTGATGTACTTCCCCTCCCGCGTGCGCTCCTTGTCGCTCGTGGCCTTCTCAGACCCAGCGAGGTATCAGGCTCTGTCGCCCCTCGTCAGCCATCCCCTCGCAGAGCAACACGACGGCGACGACGACTCACCAGCACCGACGTGTTCACACTCCTCCCCCCAATCGCCTGCAGCCTCGGCCCCGGCGTCCTCCTTCCGCCCATCCCCGGCGTCCGCCTCCCACTCTCCCTATCCACATCCTCCGCGCGCTCCCTGCTCTCAATCACGACGCGGAACACCGTGCCAGCGCGAGGAGCGCTCGTTCCAGTCGGTGGACGCCGTGCACCGGTTCGCCTCGCCGCGCTTGAGGACGTCAGTGACGGACTTGAGGGAGGTAATGACTTCTTCGCGGAGGGGCGTGAGAGTGATGTCGTTTGCGTTGGCGCCTTGGATTTGGACGACGTTGCCGCCTGCGGGCAGTACGTTAGCGACGTTTTCACGGTCAGGGGGCAGGGAAAGTACGTGCCTGAGGTGGAGGGTGGCGCGAGGAGATATACGACGGTCTCGTTGTAGATCTCTTGGTAGGAGCAACGCAGGAGGTACTCTCGCTGTGGGTTGCGCTTGATGAAGCCGAATATATCGCGCATCGAGCGCGGAATGATGCCTGGCTCCTCTTGTATGCCCGTCGTCGGGTCGGTGGGGCCACCGGTGAGCGTGAAGGTCTTGCCGGACGCGGTCGGCCCGTACGCGAAGATGACCGCGTAGAAGCCCTCCATCGCGGCGTGCACGTGTGCGTGGTCGACGGCGGTGTGGATGGGTTTGTTCGGCGTGCCGGTAAGTACATTGTCAAGGGTAAAGTCCTGCGCGGTCGCGGACGCGTTCGTGAGTGAGGGGTTGCGTGCCATGACGGGTCCAGCTTAATTGTGTGGCTATCCGACAGACACGCGGACGGCGACGAGCTGGAGCGAATTCTGTGGCGCACATCAGAGGAAGTATGAATCGCGTCGTGCAGTTATGAGGGAACCAATGACGCACCGAACAGACACCATTACCTTGTCCTCCGACGTATTCACCTCCGCGGAATTAATCTCTGCGGAGACGTCGCCAGGCTCGATCGTCTAATGTCGAGCGGGATCTCCTCCGGGCCGACGTTGCTGACGTCCTTCTCGCTTATCGGCGCGCTCAGTTCATCGCGCGCGGGGGTCGTCGGGTGTGAGTTTAGCGGAACGGGCTTGCGGGGACGGGCGCGAGTGTCGACACGGGGCAGCGCACGCTGCGGACCTTCTAACCCCCGAGATTGCCGCCTTGGACCGCTTGTGCGTCGACGAAAGCAGCCCGCTATCGGGTAGCGCCTTCGCAGACGGGGTCTTCAGCTAGCTCGGCGTCCTCAGATTGGACAGGGAAGAGGGGAGGAGAAACCGGACTGCGAGGACGACAAGCCGCGCACTGGGTGCCTTGTTCTTGACGGGAGCGTTACGCTCGACAAGGCGCGTTCGTAAGCTCATGCTTGCTCCAAGACAGTGAGCGATGAAGAACGCGAAACGTACCTTCAGTCTCGCGGTCTCTTCCTGTTACCTCTTGATGAGCGAGTCGCCGTCGACGACTCCCCTTTTGCTGCGCGAGAAGCTGCAGACCTAGTTTGCCACAAGAAGTCCTGCACACAGGCCAGAAGCATACTTCAGAGCCTTCACCCTCTGTAGAAGCGCTCGGCGTCAAGCTATGCTTAAACATCAGAATCGTTGCGCACAGAAAAGCGACGCGTTCTCTCGAAGCTACGCTGCGTGCTCTGCGAGAGTGTCAGCGACGCAGCTACACCGGAGCAAGTGGAGAGTCAGTGAAGGGAGACGACACAGGGGAAGCAATGAAACGTACCAAATTGGTAAATGACGGTTAAGCGATGCGCGCACTCTCCTTATTGTCCGTGGTCGAGACGGTTCACATAGCCCCCGCGAAACGAGACATTTGCAACTCGCCCAGCCATGTTGAGAAGTCAGTCATCTCGCCAAGCGCGCCCCGTTGCCTTATAGCTCGCACCGAGCATCAGTAGAGATGAATTCCGTTGTCATTTCGAACCATATCCAAGCATAATGTACACAAATGGACTAAATTGACCTACGACTATGGCTTAGCTTGCTCACAGTTTTGCCTGCGATGCCTTCTTGACGCGCGCTATCCCGGATCCGAGCGCGACCTAGCAATCCGTCAGCACCGAAGTAAAGAAGGTCTCGTCATGAAAGGCAAGCCTTTGCGAACTCACCTTGCCCGTCGTCACATTCAGCGTCTCGAACACGAGCTCAACTTCGCCGGCGCCCGCGCCCTCGACTTCCCAGATCTTCGTTTCGAGCCCATCGCCTGGACGTACGGGGGATGTGAAGCGCACACCGAAAAGTGTAAGGGTGCGAGGGTCACCACCGCCAACGGTAGCAATGACCGCGCGAGCGGCGAAGCCGAAGGTGGAGAGGCCGTGGAGGATGACGCCGCCGAAGCCTGCGGCTTTCCCAATGCTGGGGTCTGTTTAAATGGTCAGCAAACGAATGTCGCATCGTAGTACACAGGAACGGTGGGAGAATGCAGGGTAGGGGCCCATGGAAGATATTTTGTGCTACTCACCGATATGCAAAGGGTTGTAGTCCCCGCTCAACCGGTACACGAGCGCTTGCTCTGGCGTTGTCTGATCTTTGTAGACGTAGTCCGGCGCGCGCTTGGGTGCAGGCTTCGCTTGCGGTGGCCCAGCGATAGCCTTCGCGAAGCGCTGACCAGTAGCTTTAGCGCCGACGTTGAAGGAGGAAGACTGGATAGTACGGAGGGAGATTAGCATACACTCGGGAAAAGTAGAGAGTAAAGCGCACGTAGAGCTTCGCGTACGCCTGTCCATCGGCGCCGACGAGTGTGTTCTCCGCGGTGAGAATGATGCCGCTCTCTTCAGGTCTGCGAGTTAGTAAAGGCAGTCCCGGTAGCGAGGACGCGCGTACTGTTCTCGGCCACTGCAACATAGCGCGATGTCCACTTCCAACCTGGGCCACTCTCCAAGGGAAGAGGCTTCAGGATCTCGATCGACTGGCTGCCATGAACCTGATGTGGGCGTTAGCGATTGCAGAGGCGGGGAGGGTAGTGGTATAGCTGCGAGTGTACAGACGTACCACTCGATTCGGGTCCAAGGATGGGAGTCCGGGAACCGGCTTCCCCGTAATACGGTCTGCGAACAAGTTCACATCGGACCCAGCGCCCTTCAGCGGCAGGACAACCGGGTAGGTGGGGATCGGGGCGAAGTCCTTGTGCAGCTCTGTCGGTAGCGGGGTGAGATATGGCTGGCTCTGGCGCGTCGCGAGGCATGTACCATAAACGAGGGGGAGGTCATCCTTCTTGGCGCCGATGCCAGCGGCGTAGAGCAGAAGATCGCGCCGGTTCCAGTCAACCTGTACAAGTGTTCATGAGGATTGGGAGATGAAGACGAGCAGCGACACGCACCGGAACGTCCTCAGTCTGGTGCCCAACTACTTTCGCGAGGTCGACAGACATGATGGGGGATGGGAACGCGTCGAGGGGATGGAGGTTCGCGTCAAGTACCGGCGTGCGGGGTAGCCGGGGTGATCCGCGTTTCGGTCCGAGGTTACCGTCGTGCACGTGAAAACAAGTTCAACTTCCGAATGCATGGTTCGAGTCTTGGGACTTGCTTGAGACACACTAGCGCTGAGGACATGTAGCACAAAACGGGCGTCTGAGCCCTCGAATCAGGGCACAAGGAGGAAATGAAACCAGCAGTCAAGTTTTTGGGTTATCAAAGCGTACAGCTGCGCGTATGTACATGTACGCCATTGTACACGTCTATCGTAGCAGTCCATGCATTCTATGATCCGTCCTTCCATGCTACAACATCCTTACACCCAGGTCAATTTCATCTCACACAATGGACTGCATCCTCAGAAGGAGAGCTAGCAGTTGCCCTACGCGTCCAACAAGGCCGCCGCCGCCTTCCGCGCATTCGCCTTGTGCGTCTCGAGTTGGAGCTCGAGGTTGCGGATCTTCTCGCGTGCCTCGCGCAGCTCAGCTGTGAGCGTCGCGTTCTCCTCCTTGAGATGCGAGAGCTGGCAGATGGTCAGCTACCGCTCCGCAAAGAAGAAGAACCGACTATAGACTAACCTCCTTGGAAGATTCAGCGCGCGTCGGCGCAGGCGCAGGAGCTGACTCCGCGCGAGGAGCTGGTGCGGGCTCGGGAGCAGCAGCAGGCTCAGGCGCAGGCGCCGTGAACGTGCGCGTCGGTGTCGGGGCGGGAGCGGCAGCGGCAGGCGGTGGCGCAGCAGATGCCGGGGTTGGCGGGATGGACCCGGGTGTCACAGGCGACGTGAAACTTGTGCCGCTAGCGAGGTCGACCAGCTTAGGAGGAACGGTCTTGCCCGCAAAGAACTCAGCAGCGGTGAGCGCGGGCTCGGTCGAGAGCGCTGGCGGGTAGATGTCGGATTGGAAAGAGTCGGCCTGAAAGAGGAAAAATGAGCAATGTCGCGAAGGGGAAGTGGTGGAACTGGAGAAGGAGCGAGGTCAAGATGGATGCACGACGAGAAGCGAGCAAATGATGGGGAGAGGAGGATAGAAGAGGGTGGGTTACACACCTTGCGAGGGACGCGGAAGGGGATGGGTTCGATGGAGTTGCCGTGAACCTTGTACGCGCGCGCGATCTCGCACTCGGCGACGTTGAGGGCGCGGCGGGGAAGGAAAGCCATGCCGCGTTGAGGTTCGGAGGACTTGAACTCGTCGAGCGCGTACAGCGCGTCGTTCTCATACTCGTAATAGCGGATGTTTCCGTCGCCCTTGCCAGCTGTGATCAATGTCAGCTCGCGCGTCGGCTTCTAGCACACGCCACGCACCAAGGAAAAGGATGTTGTTGTCGGACCAGAAGGGCATGATGACGCCGCTGGACTGATCGAGCACCATCGTCTTCAGGTTCTTGAGCGAGCCCGTCTCCCAAAGCGCGACCTGCCGATCGCTCATCTTGGAGAAGCCGGTAGTCGCGATGCGGTCCATCTCCCCCATCCAGACAACGCGGCTGCCCTTGATGCCGCCGTGCCCGTCAGTAACGCGTACGGGCTCGGGCCCTGCGCGCGGATCGAAGATGCGCAGCTTGCGGTCGCGGCAGGTGGTCGCGAGCAGCGTGCCGGACGCGTTGAAGCTCAGGCTTTGGATCGCGTCGCCGTGCCCGGCGAGCGTGGATCGGGGTGATTCGGGCGCGCCGAGGTCCCAGAGCTTGACGAGGTGCTCGCCGGACGCGGATGCGAGCACGTTCTGCGCGGTTGGGTGCCAGAGGACCTGGCCGACCTTCTTCGCGGACGCGTCGATGCGCGCGACGGGATCGAAGTCGCGCGGGACCCAGCCTTCGGCGCCCCAGCCCTCGAAGTCGGCGGCGTCGACCTTCCAGACGCAGAGCCTGCCATCGTCACCGCCAGACGCGACGACTGAGTCGTTGTGAGGGGACCAGTCGGTATCGAGCACGGGGGCTGTGTGCGAGCGGGCGAGGGGGAGCGTGTCGGGAAGCTTGTTCGGGAAGTTGGGGATCGTGCCGAAGGGAGAGGGGAGGGGGACAATTGCAAAGGCACCGCCGCCGCTCGCGTTCCAGTTGATGCTCAGATACTGCCCGGACGCGGCGACGATGTTCGTGTCCCAGGCGTTGTTCGTGACCTTGACATTCTCGATGATGAGTTCCTTCTTCGCTGTTCCCTGGCCGTACACATGCCTAGATCATAGCTTGAGAAAAACATTGTACATTCGCGCTGACCCTAGCTCACCGATACTTAGATGCTCGAATAAAACGCGACATGGCGGTGAGATCTACGAGAGGCCGTCGCCACGACGCAGCGATCGGTTTCGGCGGTCCGGCGCTTGATGGGCATCATTCGAGTCGGCGCTTGCCGAATCACTCCTTGGCTCACGCTCTCATGCTCGTTCCGTAGTTCACATCACCCTCATAATGAATATACGGGTATACACCGATATTGAAGACTATGGAGCCTAAGCTACTGATGTTGCGGCCTCCGTCGTCACTTCTGGCGCGATCGTAGTTCTGCGCCGTGTCAGCTCGAATCTGCCTCAACCCATTTCGTCAGGACTCACGTTATCGTCCACACCACCTCCTGGCTCACTTCGACAATGTAGGGCGCTTCGTCGATGATGGTCTGCACGAGTCGCGCGGCGGTTAGCTCCGAGGTGACGACCGTAGTCCCAGACGCTTCAGGCGCTGTCGTGGACGTATAGGCGGTGGCCGATTCGTTCTCCGCACTGACGCTCTCCTGGCGCGCGAAGCTCTGGATAGCATGAGCTCGAGTCTGTTCTGCATGTCCCTACTCACAGCACTAGCGCTCGCCCCGATTACGAGGAGCAAGAGGAGCGAAATTGTTTTCGTTAACAGCATCATGGCGGGTTTAGCTGGGTTCACAAAGGCTGCCCCATCGACTATATACCTTTGGTGAGCATCACACCATCTTATTCCTTTGCTTGCTTCCATCTTCGCTCATAGACTCTGCGCATCCGATCCTCGGTCTCCGTGCGCCCGGCCCTCGGGTCGAACCTTCAAGCCGCCTTGTTGACTTTCAATGGGCGCAGCCCGACATGGTGATCGCCCTCTTGCTTCGATGTATGCTCGCTTCTCCGACTAATAGGCTGACTATCGCTGTTCGCCGGGACTATGAAGCGCGATACATCGGTACCGTCAAGCCTCGCGCTTTACTGGCCGACATGACGGCACGAAGGTACGGAGGCTATTGTCAGCCACCTCACAACGGCTGACCAGGACTCCTCTCACAGGCCATCAAAAGCCCGCAGCCGTCGTGCACATCTCGGAAATTCCAGACGAACTGGCTGCTTCACAGTGAGCCCACGCTGTTCCGACGCAGCACGAATTCATCACGGTGCTATCCTCTGGGAATGCGCCCCGTGCTTTGACTTGAGTGATAGCTTGGTCAAATTACACCTATACTCAGTCATGGAGGCCGATCCTGAAGCCCTAGACGGGCGCTATACGAAGTCTCCCTTCTTCGGGGCCCTTAGTTGCCGGCCTCGTCGATCACGGACTTGGTGCCTTTGATTCGCCACCAAACCCTAAGGTAGTTGAGTGCTAAGGTACGCCTGATATTCGCTACACGGGGCGGTGCTCATTCATACGGGATGGATGTCCGTCCGACCCTCTTACAAGCTCATCTACCCTTTTCCAGAGATCGGACTCGCACCTACAGCTACGGCGGCCGCCGGGGCTCCTTCGAACACTTGGCAGAGTCGCGAGGTGCATGCATTCTCGCGCGCAGTAGAACTCCTTCCTCGTTCTGCTGTAAGTGGGGGTTTGAACGCGAAGAGATCAACCTGGTGGGTTATCAGCCATCGATGTCGGCACGACCTAACTTCACTTTATCTGGCAGACGAGAGCCCGCGTAAGGAGAGACGCCTCTCCCGATCCAGAACTTACAAGGTATGTCTCGGGAATGCTAGACGCCAATCCTGCTTTACGCGCGCAATGAGACGCCAACTAATCGCTTCTTGGCTGATCCGACCTTCGGTCTACTTGTCCGCTCCTACCCTTGTCCCCTTCGCCCCTTCTACGCATCTTACGATTCCTCGGTGTCCCGTTGACCTGATTGATGGACTGACGGCCCCTTAGTCCCTCCGCGTCGACGATGATGCTAACTGTACGTAGTTGCATGTTGTATTCGTCCTTACGGGGACACCCTGAAAGAAGGACGCAGATTTGCCTCATTGAGTACTATGTGTCTCATTCACGTTGGCTTCGCCTTCTGACAATCTATCAGGACTTCTGTTCACCGGTACCGCGCAGGCACGCTGATGGTCGTCGCTGCTGCGCCTCCCATTCGCGTTACCTGACCTCTGCGCGCGACTTACCTCAAGAGGTCGTGACTGCGGCGACGTTGCGCACTCATATCCGGCGGCCGCGGGGTGAGCAATTCCGACTTCCCCGTTGGCGGCTTGGGTACAGCAGGTATGGTGTCGCGACTCGACCTACATTTCTTGTCTCCAATACAACTGGCGATAGTTTCGCTGAAAACCTACATCGAGGGTGCTTTTGGGCAGCCATACTCGCCGTACAGGACATCCGGCACGGGGGGAAACAGCGTTGTCAAGGGCGAGAGCTCGATACTCTTCGTAACGTCACCGGGATCATCTGCTTAATATTGTGGCTAAAGGGACGTAGAGGATCCATATGAACGACGTTCGAAGGTCATCCTTTAGCAGTCTTTTGCGACCATCGGAGCGCAGTCAGAAGGTCGCGGAAGCATTCGGCGGCGCCCGAGAGGCTGGCTGGAGGCTTGTCGTGCACCTGCGCATTTCTCGTCTCATTCACTGACGAGTTCGGGCTTCGTTCAGCGGGCCACGGGAGAACGCTAGTCCATCCGCGCCTTGCGATGCTACGGCGTCTTTCGCAATGAGGAGACCTCTTCCGGTGTACGTGTTTTTTTCCTGAATAGCTGCGTGACCATTATCATTGACCTGTACCTCCATCCGTCTAACAGGACAAGTCATAAGCGGAGAACAAAGGCCGCATCATCATTCCACGACCTAACGAGCTGTACGCGCCACTCATCAAGCAGGGGCAGTCGGGTGCATCTGTCCGATAGGTACGTTGACAGGCGGCCAGCATAACTGTCCTGAAAGGTTGACGTTCTTCTTCATCAGAAGGTGACGTACCTCTGTTCCGTTCCGCTCAATAGTCCCGGCGGCGATGTAGGAGGCGCACGGACGGGTATACGGAGTGTGTCAGTCCGTTGAGTAGGACTGCTGGCCGGTATGCGAGACGCCATACTACCCCGTATTCTGGACACCCGCTCCATCGCATCTCGTGAATTGCGATGGAAGGCACGAGAGTGAGTGCTTCCCAATGGCTCGACTGATTGCTATACCAAGCGAAGGCGCCGCAGCCAGTCTTTCCTTTCGCGGTGGTATTTGCCTCACCATCCACGCATCTAGTCGCCCCTGGTCGTGAACTGACAGCGCGAACGCCGAATGTCGGACGGGTGCGAGCAACAGATCGAGTTGAGCGGCGTGCCAGATATTCTTTCTCGTGTGGCATGGCCTTCTCGAGCGAGTATAAATGCTCTCGTCACCGTCTTCTACTCTTGACATAGCTAACGCCGCCGCGTTCGTCCCGCTCGCCCTCCCATCTTGCCTCCCTGTGTCTGCGCTGCAGACTTCTCATAACCTCCTCGTCTCACTATCGCTCGTCGCGATGCGTGTCTCATTGATCACAACTTTCGCATATGTTCCTATCGCACTGGCCCTCGGGCCTGTAGGGAATCTACCTATTGTCAACAAAGAAATCGCACCGGACGGTAAGCGCCAGTCTTCAAGCGTTTCATTCGCAGATGCTGATGATCCGCTTTCCCCTCTAGGATTTTCTCGCCCGTGCGTGAATTTCTTGCGCCAGCAGCAGACTCATCTCACTTCATATTCAGGACCGTACTCGCCAACGGTATATTTCCTGGAGAGCTCATCACAGGCACGAAGGGGGACACGTTCCAAATCAACGTTCAAGACCAGCTCAATGACACACGCATGCTAAGGAGCACGACCATAGTGAGTTTCTTTGATGTCCCCGCACCTCTGCATCGAATGTCTATCACTTGATGGACGCGCTGTGCACTTGCATGGCCCTTCGAACTTTTCCGGTCGTCGTCTTCGTACTCAACCTGATCGTCGTTCTCCTTCTGTCTCCTTCCGCTCATCATTGCCTATCGTCCCGTCCCCCTATCCATGCGCTCGTTCGCTTGTATCACCCACCCACAATCTAAATTGTTGGGCGCAACTGACCGGTTTACCCCTCTAGCACTGGCATGGATTCTTCCAAAAGAACTCCAATTGGGCGGTGCGTTCCAGACTTCGGCGTTCTCGGCGTCGTCATTGAACCGGTGTTGACTTGACCGTAGGATGGCCCTGCAGGAGTCACACAATGCCCCATCGCTACCGGTGACTCTTTCGTCTACGAGTTCGGCGTCCCCGACCAGGCGGGGACATTCTGGTATCACTCGCATCTGAGCACGCAGGTGAGTTTAGCCTGTTGCGATTGACAATCCACGTGCTGAAAACGATCAAGTACTGCGACGGTCAGGTCCCTCCACTGCTTCATTGATATCAAAGCTCATCGCCGGTCTGATTGACAGGACTACGTGGTATGTGTGGCATGCGTTTGAGGCCGACTCGAGCATCGCTGATACGTGCGCAGGTGCGATGGTGGTATACGATCCCGCAGACCCTCACCTTTCGCTGTACGATGTCGACGACGACAATACTGTGATCACTCTTGCGGATTGGTGTACGTCTCGATTCATCCCTTCCAACGAGACAGCATCTCGACTAACGACACGATGCAGATCATGCGTTGGCACCGACGATTATAGGCGTCGGCACGCCCGACTCCACCCTCATCAACGGAAAGGGCAGATACAATGGTGAGTCTGTACATGGAAACCTATTTCCGCAAGAGCAGGCCTAGCTTAGGCTGTTTCCCTCGCATCGAAGTCCATCTGACACCCTGCGCTAGGTGGATCGCTCACTAATCTCACTCGCATCAACGTCGTTCGCGGCCGTCGCTATCGCCTCCGCATCGTGTCCTTGTCCTGCGACCCGAGCTTCACCTTCGCTATCCACGGACACAATATGACGATCATTGAGGCCGATGGCGTGAATACGCAGCCGCTAGTGGTGGACTCCTTAGAGATCTTCGCGGGACAGCGATACTCCGTAGTAGTTCATGTGCGTATAGCTCACAGTCGAGTGGATCCGTGCGTCCGATGACTGACTGCTTTCCTTCTCCTTTCAGGCGAATCAACGTATCGGCAACTACTGGATCCGCGCCAACCCCAGCTTCGGTACCATCGGCTTTGCAGGCGGTCTTAACTCCGCCGTCCTCCACTACATCGGCGCGTCCTCCTCTGAACCCGCTGAGGTCGACACCGAGCCCGTCTCCTCTTCGCCGTTTGTGGAGACCGCCCTCCGTCCTCTCGAGAACCCTGGCGCGCCTGGTCTCCCTCAGCAAGGAGGAGCCGACGTAAACCTCAACCTCGCGATCGACCTCACGCTGGACCCATTCCAGTTCACGATGAACGGCGCGCCATTCATCCCGCCGAGTCTGCCGGTGCTGCTTCAGGTGATGAGCGGAGCGCGTACTGCGCAGGAGCTACTTCCAGAAGGTAGCGTGTATACGCGTGAGTCGTGGTCATTTTCTGCTTGCGAGATGATCTTGACAACGCGCGTACAGTGCCGCCGAACCAGACCGTTGAGATATCGATACCTGGCGGCAGCGCGGGAGCGCCCCATCCTTTCCATCTGCACGGGGTGAGTTCTCTCGTCAGATTGCGACTCATCCTTACTTCGCTGACCATTACTATCAGCATACCTTCGATGTCGTCCGCAGCGCAGGGAGCACAGATTACAACTACGCGAATCCTATTCGCCGGGACGTGGTTAACACGGGATTAGCTGGTATGTGCAGATGTTCTGGAGGACGAGTCCATGCTGATACTCGCAATGCAGGTGACAATACTACGATTCGGTGCGCTTGCGCTTCAGTTCAAAGTCGCAGTCGGCAGATTGATGTCTCCCTTCAGGTTCAGGACGGACAATGCTGGGCCCTGGATCCTTCATTGGTACGCAGTTTCTAGGGCGAGATAAGAACTCTTTACTGACGTACTTCTCCAGTCATATTGACTGGCATCGTACGTCCATCGCATAGCTCGCTGATAAATGCTGATATATCGTCGCTCTTCCCTCTTGTTACGGAATGCTTAGTTGGTGCGTCTGTATGGTCACTGCTGCCTATCATCGTCTGATGACCTGCCTAGACATTGGTCTCGCCGTCGTAATGGCAGAGGACACGGATAGTATGGCGGAGTCCGTACAGCCAAGTCAGTCCCCCCTCATTCATTACTCATGGTCGCTCACGATCGATTGTAGCTGCGTACGGTGATCTCTGTCCCAAGTACGACTCGTTGTCTGATGATGAACTGGGTGGACTCGTTGACTAGACCTCGCGGCCTCCGTCGAATGCGCCAGTCATGCTACGAGGACTTTGAACGCCAACCATGTATCCTTTGTTCTCGGCTTCTCACTATGCTTGTCATCCTTATATATGTGGTATATATTCACGAGGGTTGATTCTCAAGGCCTATATGCTCTGGCTGACGGGGGGAAGCTACGTTAGGGAAGAATGAGTGTTTACTGATAGAAATATTTCTCTGCTCGGACCTGGAGAGGCCATGAAGCTTGCTGGTCCCAATGCTCGAGATTTGGGTTCGAAGCAGGCGCGCCCCGGTCCGCCGGGCCGACCGCGGCGAACAAAGAAATCCGTTTTGGGAAGTGATAGACTCCTTACTTCCTACCAACATGTCGTCAGATCGTTTACCCTCTATTCTCGACGAGACTTGCTGGAGAACATCACTACGCTCGTTCGTCCTACGCCTGCCGCTTTGCGTAATATTTGACGGGCTTCCGCGGAAGCCTTTCGTGTAAGCCTTGCGCGGAGGACCTCCCCGAAGACTGCCTTATAACGGGGTGAAACGGGTCGAGAACGCACGCTTTCTCTCCCTTCTTCTCTTGCTACTCGCCCGTCATGTCTGGGAGACCTTCAACACGATCGCGCGCGAAATGTGGGGCAAACGATACTCAGTCGACCACACTAAGCTCGCAGCAGGTGCGTGCTGATATCTTTCTTCGTGCGTCTCTCGCTGACCACACCACAGGACGCGCTGCAGACGTTTCCTCCCACTCTTTCTGACCCAGCGGCATCTTATCTCGACGTGATCGACCCCTCCCTCTTGTCAATGCACCCTGGCACTAGTGGATCGCCTGGGGCACAAGAGCCTGCGAAGACTGTTCAATCGAACCGCAGAAGCCGCCGCAAACGGGCCCATCAGGATGCCTTTACGTCCTCGTCGGTCGCAGCGTCGACCTCAGCTGCAACTGAAAACGCGCCCGCGGGGTCTTCTGGCATGTTCACTGTCTTTAGCGCGCGCCTTCCACCGCCCTCACCTCTCGTACATCCTGAGGCGTACGGCAGGACGCCCTCCCCAAACCTTTCCTCTCCCATCTCCTTCGACTTGACCGCTTCCGCCGCCGTTGGGAATTCCTTCCCCAGCCCTCATTCTGGAGTTTCCGCCTACCAACCCGGACTTCCTGTCCCGCACGCGCGCGATGAGCGTGCTTACCCCCTTACGTACATCGTCGCTACCAGCTTACACGCCGCGAGCGTGTTCGTCGTCCCCACGCCCAAAGCCAGGCCGCTTGAGCTGCAGAGCATCCCGTGGGTGGAGCGCGATCCGCATCAGCCTGCTGGTGGCGTGCCGGATAGGTCAGCTCTTGCTCGCCTGGCGTACTATCTGCGCATCAAAGCTCTGGAGGAGCGTACCGAAGCGCTCAACGCGCGGGCTTCAGCGGCAGAGGAGCGGGAGATGTTTGCGCGAAGCCACAGTCTGGCAGAGGGTCGACGGGCGGATGAGGCAGACGCGCGGGCGCAAATTGCTGAGATACGCCTTGAGGAGCTGGAGGAGGAGGTCCACAGGATGAAGGAAGCCCTCGATGTGGCCGTCGCCGCAGCGAAGGCCTCTGATGGGGCCTCGCAAGCCCAACTCGTATCCGCGCAAAGAGAGACTGCGACTGCTCAGCAGGCTGCCGCCGACGCCACGGCTTCGCGCGATAGGATGTATAAAGATGCGGCTGCAGCGCAAGTCCGTGCGCGCCAGGCGGCGAGCGAACTGGACGAGATGCGGCGCAAGTTGAGAGGGGCTGAGGAGGAACTTCGCACTACGCAGGACCAGCTCCAGGCGACGGAGGGTACGCTGGTGGGGTCACGCGAGGAACTTCGGGGGAGTCTTCACGATCTTGGCATTGCGCTTAACCGCGTCGGTCAGCTCGAGGAAGTCCTTCAGAAGTTGCAGGAGCAGGATGAGCGGCCGCGTAAACAGGCGAAGACAAAGTAGTAATAGGGACTGTCACAGTAGCGGTTTGGTGCGAGTTTGGTGAGAGTTCGGTGAGAGGTTTCGTGCAGGTTCCGTAAGCTAGTTTGGTGGAGTTCAACTTTGACTGTGCCCCTGGCAAATCTCTATGAAACCGCGTTCGAATGAAACTCGCCACAAAATACGGCTCGGCATGTGTCGGCAGCCACAAAGTCCGCGTCAGCCAATGTCACGCCAGAGGCGCGTCACATAGTGCGTTGTGCTGCCTCCCGTTCGCCTCCCTCGCCATGCCATCGCGATCTGCGCGCAACGAAGCAGCGGAAGCGCTTGAGCAGGCCTTCCTCATCGACTGGATTGCTGAGCTGGAACGTCACACGCTGGATTATGACGACGACTGGGATAGTGACGATGATCTGGACTCATCGGACATCTCGAGTGGCTCCTCAGACTCTTCCAGCTCATCCTCGTCCTCGTCCTCATCCGATGACTCAGATATAGACATGTCTGACGAGGATCTCACTGCTGCTGAGGCATACATGAAGAAAATGGAGGAGCTCTACAGCCATCGCTATCTGCAGGAGCGCCAGCGGATCCCGAAGTCATCGGAACTCCTCCACAACCTCTTGAACGAGTACAAGGTCCATCGCCCAGAGATCTTCCGCTCGTACCTTCGGATCTCGCCTGCTTGTTTCGATGCCCTCCTGGCAGTTATCGAAGATGATCCCGTCTTCCATAATAATTCGAACAACAGCCAGATGCCTGTCGCACATCAACTAGCCATCGCGCTATACCGCTTCGGTCACCATGGCAACGCAGCAAGTGGCCTCAAGGTTGCTCTGCTCTTTGGCGTGGGGTATGGAACGATTAATCTCGTTACCTCCCGTGTCATCAAGGCGGTGTGCGGAGAGCGTTTCCGCACCGCAGCACTGCAGTGGCCTGGTGATGCGGAAAAGGAGAAGGCAAAGGACTGGGTTGAGAATGTGTCATGCCCAGCTTGGCGGGATGGCTGGCTGATGGTCGATGGAACTCTGATACCGCTCTTCCGCCGTCCGGGTCACTTCGGTAACACGTTCTACGACCGAAAGTCCAACTATTCGCTCAACGTCCAAGTACGTATTCTCCCTAAGCTTTTTCATGCTCTAATCAACAGTTTAGCTGGTGTCGACACCCGATTGCATGATCATTGATTACGCTATCGGTCTTCCTGGAAGCCAGCACGATGCCACAGCGTGGGAGCAGACCCGTATTGCCAATCAACATGAAGTTCTTCTTCGAGAAGAGGAGTGGGTCTGGGCAGACACTGCATACCCTCTTCGTAAATGGTGCCAATCACCATACAAGAAGTTTGTCGGTTATCATTTCCAGTTGGCGCATACCAAATTGATTGCAATTTTCAGACCTGAAAAGGAGCTTCCGGAGAACACAAGATATAACTATCATGTCTCACGAGTTCGTGTTCGCTCGGAGCACTGTGTTGGTTTCATCAAGTGTCGCTGGGCATCCCTCAAAGGACTTCGAGTTGCAGTAGACTCAACGAAGGGCCTCAAATATGCAGCGCTATGGGTCACATCCTGCATTCATCTCCACTGCTTTGCATTGCGACATGAGGATACGGGTACACTGGACAGCAATCGCTTCTACCGAGAAGGTCGTCGCTACGCCAAGAAGGTTCGAAGGTTCGAACGTCACTGGCGCCACCACCGACGTCAGGAGACTTCACGCACAGAGCAGGAACTGGATGAGGATGATGATATTGAGCTTCTAGAGGGCAGGTACAAGCGGGCACAGTTGAAGGAAGCGTTATTCAGCCACCAGCAATAGAGTATATAAGTATGGCATGATGCATGCACATCAGCAGAGAACAGTAGAATGATTAAGTATTACAAGTGATATGTATGTGAAGAACACAGTAAAGAGAGTGAGGGCATTTAAGGAGTGCAATGGAGTGGACAAATTGGACATACAAAGATCCATCAGTAGAATGGGCCAGACGGAGGGGGGCCAGCAAAAAGGGCAGGGTCAACAGGGTGCACGTTGCTTGACTGCGACGGCATGGCAGACATGCCCGGGCTGATACCTCCCGATGACGGTCCAGCCTTAGCAGAGGCCAGACCCCCAGCGGGCTGGTCAGAAGCAGCAGGAAGGCCCGCACGAATACGCTCGAGCTCGAGTTGATGAAGCATCATCTCGCGCTGAAAGTTCCGCTGCCGCTCAGCCTCCTCACGTGCGTAACGCTCGTTCAGCTGCCGAAGTTCGAACTCCATCTCCTTCTGCTTGACCTTGGCCAGCTCGACCTCGTAGCTAAGACGGGCCTTCTTCTCCGCGCGCTCGTTCTTCTTGCGAAGCTTGTACTTGGCGAGATCGATCCGAGCCTTGCGATCCTCGGCAGCTGACTCAGCAACAACTTCGATAGGTTGACGACGCTTATGGGAAGAGGCAGGAGCAGGGGAGGGAGCTACGCTCGGCTTGGTCGGGGTGCGACTCTTCCGGGATCTTCCCGATGCCTTGCTGGTTGGAGCTGCAGGGAGAGCCTCGACGCTGCTCATGCTGGAGTCAGAGTCGGAGTTGGGGCCATCACCACCACCACTCGTGCCATCGGTGCGCTCCGCATCAGAGACGTCGGACTCCAGGTTGCGAGATCTCTTGCGCGTTGCCGAGGCTCCGTCGGGGAGAGGCGTGGACTGCAGTCTGCTTGAGGGCTCGACATGGGATGGGTCGACCGGATCATCGAAAGGCTGCAGGTACAGTGAGAAAACGAGCTGATAGATAGTCAGATCACACCGCGCACCTGACTTCCTCGCCCGAGAATGGACGTGTCAACGGGGGTCGTGCTGTTGGCCATTGCACCCCGGTCGACAGTCGGACTGCTACCCATCATGTTGTGGAGTGTCTTGAAGTACGGGAAGGTCTTCTGGATCGAGTCTGCAACGGGGCGTCAGCTCAAGGAGTGGCAAGATCATGCGCGACGTACCCCACTTGTTCTTCAGTTCCGATCCCTGAGTCATGTCAGCCTCCCGGCCGTTGTCGATGAGGCCCATGCCCGTCTCGCCGAGGAGATTGCGCTTCTCAACATACATCCTCTTGAGGCTGTGAAACAGTCAGTTTCGTAAGTACGGGGAGATCTGGAAGGACGTACGCGAGGATGCGGGCCTTGATGATCAGCGCGAGCTCCCCGAGATGGTCCTCGGTGAAGCAACCATTCAGCTCGCCGTCCTTGACAGCGTACTCGATGGTGCCCTGCTCAGAAGCGGTGGGTAGTAGCAGCTTGCGCGCGATGGACTTCGCATGGTCGACCTGCGTCAGACCGGTCGGATTGTTCTTGTTGGGGTCTTCCTCGGCTGCGGGAACCAGGCTCGCAGCGCCCTTGTCGAAGCCGAATGCGATCTTGTACTTCGTCTTCTCGGAGATGATGGCGAGCAGCTGGTGCGTGTAGGGTATCGCAATTTTCTGCCGCCACCTGTCGTACGGTTAGCATCTAATCAGAGCGAGGATCACACTACGCACGGGACTGTGACCGACCCGGCGCGGGTGGGAGGCATGCTCGCCGTACTGGTGTTCTCCTTCCCCGGGGCATCCTTCCTTGAGCGCGACTTCTTCGACGGCGTGGGCGCCTGCTTCTTTTTGGCATCAAGCCGAGTCCGGATCCTCTCGCCTTCGCTAGGCATGTTACGCCGAGACAACAGGCAAGGGCCTGGCACGGGAGAGAGAGAGAGAGAGGTGGGGGTGACGCTGACGACAGACAGAAGCGGACGGACAGGACAAGGACGACGCGGCGGTACCGTGACGGCGTCGAGGAACGAATTCAGACTCCGCCGTGTGGCGCTCATAGCGTCTACCGAACCGGGCAGTGGTTTCGCAGAGTTTGGCGGCTAAGTACACGAAACCAAGCCTATCGAACCCGTGGCCGAACCTCACCAAACTTCCCACCGAACTCTCACCAAACTCGCACCAAACCGCTACTGTGACAGTCCCTAATATCTCTTGACTCCAATCCAATTCGTTGTTACCCCAGTCGGCTGGCGCCGTATCTCTCTTCGTGCCCGCTCCCCTTTTCTCATAATCAACTAAGATATTTGCTACTGTGCGCTTCAGCGGGAGCACAATGTCATACGGCCTGTAGCGGCATGTGAAGCGCGTCAGCGCGACTCGTCGCGTTGACATCGCGGTCAGTTCCAAGTCCGTCCTTTTTGTAATCTTGCTCTTCCCTCACGCTCATCACAGGTATTTCCTTGCGGCCCATACGCAGCATCAAATGTCTCCTGAACCCAACGATGATCATGGCCAACCATAGCTAGCACCGCCTTCGTCAAACTTCGAGGCACGCATACGTCGGCTCTACGGCGCCGTGCAAGGCATCCGTAGCAGTTGGGAAGACCCATCGGCGAGAGGCACTCGCGAAGGTTCAGCTCATCTCAGACTCGCCCAGAGATTGCTCCAGGCGCGCCCTCTTCACAACGTACTCGGATCGCCACCTGCGCGCCCGTTCGAGGAGTACACTGCGACCCCCAAGGGAAAGGAGATGATCGTCGCGATCGTAACGCTTCAGTATGTCAGTATCTGCTCCAAACCACCAGGGTCTGGCAGGAGGAGCATCGCCGTCTGTGGCCATTCGACGACTCGCTCTGAACTTGTCTGTTTCGCTGGTCCGACTACTTGCTACCCCTCGAAAGCGACCGCGTCCTGAAAACCTTGAATAAGGTCAAGAGCGCCAAGGCTACGCGCGTTCTACTCACCGCTGTCCTAGGAATGATCGAGTGCATCGCAGCGCTTCCCAACGCGGACGCGCAAGCATACTTCCTTCAGCGAGAGCAATTCGGCTCTTCATACCCTCGTCTGCCTCTGGGTCCACTGGCACAAGGTCGTCACAATGTACAACATGACGGTCGGCGCAGTCACAGAGTGTATGATCACGCTCGCAGCTGCCTGGCAAGTATTTGACCGAGACGTCGCCACCTCGCTCATCGGCACGCAAATCATGCGCATCGCTGGTGGCGGAGAGAGGAATGTCTTCCGGCTCTGCGCGGCGCACCTGCGCATACTCTCCATGGGCGTCACCTATACGGGTCAGAGGGATGCGCTTAGGGGGCAGGCAATGTTCATGGGTGTGCTCTTCCACAGCTTCGACATCGAACCCCGAACGATTCCTAGCTCGTTCGTCTCTACAGTGAT